AAATTCTATAATAATAACGTTTTAGTAGTAGTTAAAAGCTTTATTTTTTCGTGGGCTCGCATTTTGGTGGGGTGTTGCATTGGCTGAACTGTTGCATTGGGTGAGCACGGACGGTACTCAGTAACCTGCAGCCAATGAGTCAGCTAAACGACTAGTGCAACCGGGGTGATCAGAATTACCACCGAGGAATAATCGGCATCCGAACCCTCTCGGCAAGGGTAAAAGCATCGGTCAACGCTGCAGCATGGAGTCTCGCCGCACCCGTTGGGGTACTCATCACGAGTGGCGAGGCTGAGGCAAGATTGGGATTGTATCGCACGATATACACGAATGGTATGTTCCATTACCAGCACTGCGCGTATCTGTGGGCAAAGCAATTGCGGGCGCGTCTGAAGAAACCATATGTGTTGGGCTCGGACTCGCGTTCGGTGGAGCATGTTCAGCATTGTTTGCATCGTGTGGGCACGCCAAATGCTACGCAAGTTGTGTTGCAGACAGGGGCGACTTTGCATGCCAGACGGTGGCAGCTAGATTGTATTATCGGGGAAAATGAGGTACATACTGGGCATTAGTTGGTATATTTACTTTGGCTTGCTCCCATGCTTGCTTCAACTGCATGTGTTCGTTGTTCTTGTCGTCGGGTTCAGCGGGCGCAGCGCCGCAGACTCCAAACCGTTGACTCAGCGTGCGCATGATTCAAAACTTCTAAAATATTACCGTAGCCGGCTTGCACTTTGTACTCGATGTTTACCTCAGTGTTTCCTGGTGTGTATACATCTAATTGAACAATCCTAAGCTATATTCTTGGATACACCTAGTCAATGCGATGATTGATATTGGTGGATTTACTATACTTCAAGCTGCCTGAAAATAAAGGCATATAGGGTAGCAATAAAGTAGAAGAACCGGATAATATGATAAAGTATACATTGGTGAGCTAGTTGTGTAGTAAAAGCTATTCTCTGTACTATACGCCGAAATTTACCACAGAACTGACAAGCTAGACCTGAGCGATCCAGTTGGATAAGTGCGGCAACATGGATAATGTCGCTTACGCCCTTGATAACTTTTTTCAGTTCACCAGGCTCTTGCGCGTTTAGAATAAGCATCCAATCAAAGTCTTCTAGACATTTCCAGAGAGTTGCTGTGTGCTTGAATTTATGGACTTATTCTCGTCGACGATGGATCGAAAAGCAAAATCTATCATAGGAGGTACGCACTTTTGGGCGTCGTTATGTCCACGCCACCATGACTGAAAAGAGCTTCGTAAACGAGCACATAACATTCCACTTACCCAGAATGATAACCAGCCACGTAATCCTAACATAATCGAGTTTAACGACGGCTCGTCTGATCACTGCATATCCTGTAATTGAGTTTGCGGTTGGCAAGACTATTGGTAACTCTTCGAACGTGGGTATTGTAAGTTTCAGTTTGTGGATATCGTGCTATTTCTGAGTGGAGATGAAAACAGCCAGAGAATTGAGTTGCGGGACATGGCCAGTTAATGATGGAAAAGGAAGCATCGATGTGAGAGGATGATCTTTAAAGTCCAAGATGAGAAGTTGAGTCCAGTCCATGTACCAACGCCACATGTCTAACTGTTGCTCCGAATGCACATAGTATATTGAGCCGCTCCAACCTCATTCTTCCAGTGCGGGAAACCGATCTCCATCTTGCCAATGGAAGTTCAACAGGCCATTCTCCCAGTCCTGGATGCCGAGATCAGAGACAATACTCCCGTAAAGGTAGTCATCTGCGTTCTAGAGAGCCAGATGGAGCACTTCGATCTTATTGCCTTGTATTAGATAGGGTTTCAGTATCTGGAGTTCGCTACTGCTTTTGACGATTGGGCATATGCCGAGCAAGTCGAAGTAAACATTCATCTTTAGCGAGTGCAGTTGCAGTGATGATAGCAAAAGTCATTCCAGAGGTTTACTTTCTATCAAGCAATTTGTCGCATGCAAGCCAGCGGTCGCATGGGTGGTGTGGAAAACATCAAGCCCAGGTTCGGGAACAGGAACGTTCGCGTCCTAGCTAGAATTGGTGAGCATATAGTAAACTCACCAGAAATTTTAGCCGTACCTCAAAGATTGCAAGCATGGGGGCGATTATGGAATCGAAAATATCTTGCCAGAGTGTGCTAATCTGGAGAAATCGCACATGTTGCGCAGTTGGGCTTTTCCCATCAGTAAGCACTGCACTAAACCCTCAGTGGCTCGTCGCAACCTAAAAGCTTCCTGATGCATCCTACCTGGATCAGCTTACTCTACTTCGAATTCGATATCGCTCGCATGTCTGTATACATGATCCTGTAATTTGCAGGTATGAAACAGCAGCGCATCGGGTTCGTAGCGGCATGCTCTGGACATGAATCTGAGTGCGTATAGCGTTTTCAAGTCATCTTCGTGAAGCTTTGTTAGTATCAACTTTGTCCAAATCTTAAAAACAAATCTGGTGCGTTGCCTAAAAGAGCTAATTTACTAATATAGTCCTAGAACTTCTCCAATTACACTTCGGAATATTCCTTTTGGATCAAATCCCTCTATTACACTCTTGAATCTTCTTAGGTTTTCTGAATGAATTCTCTTGTTTACCATGGTTAGATTGAAGATATCTCTTGTATCCTTAGTCCAGTGTGGTCGACATGGATATCGTTCGATCAATCCTTTAGCCAACCTGTCATAGAAACCCTCGTTAAACCTCTTGCCATCACCCCAGTTAGGCTTGAAGGTGGGAAAATCGAACATCATAGCACCTTTTGTCCAGTCCGCACCGTCCTCATTGGCAGTGAAGACTTGTCCAAGTAAGTCATTGTAAGGCTTGCCGAACTTGATGTTTATACAGAACGATACGTGGATGTCATCACAATTCCTTTCTTGAGTTCGCTGTCGAAAGCCTCTCGCACATGCTTAAGAACATCGTTTGCAATTGTGACCGGGAATGCAAGCTCAAGAGTCAAACCTCGAAGTCCAAGGTCCCATTGTGTTCCGTGACCAGGATAAAGTCCGCCGATCAACACGTCATAGTTCCAGCCGTATACCGGCCAATTAAAGATTAGTTTATCTGTTCTCTTATCACGGAAGTTCGGTGGTGACCATAATGCAAAGAATAACGTCTCAGCAGCCATGTTAGACGTAGGTAGGATCTTGACTTCTAGATGTAAGTAAACGTGCATCGTAAATCACAAAACACTGACCAGAGTTTAGTAGACCTGCTGCTGCAAAATCAGCCTCAGTCTTCGTGACACTGAAGGTTGATTGAAATGCTTCTTGATCGGATAACCCTGCGGGAATTGGATCGTAATAACGATGGTGGAACTTGCACAAATAGGGCCACCACCAAAGGTTTGCAGTTCCGTACGGCGCAATCAGCCCATAGATGTCCCCGTTAAGCACTTTATCCTCAGAGATACTAGGCAATCAGTTAATACAGTACATGCAATCATTTAGACGGTCTACAGAGTACTCACATGTCTTGCTTGGAATAAACCTTGAAATCTGGATAGATTTTGAACTTTACTTTGGCAATGACTCCAAGTAGACCTAGAGAGGTAGATGCAGCAAGCCATTCATCGCTGTCGGACCTCTTGATCACACGAAGTTCACCATTTCCGTCGATTATGTGAAGCTCCAACGCACCTGCGGCTATCATACTCTCCTCGCGAAGGCTGCTCCGATGGGCACCCATTGCAATGCTCCCTGCCAATGTTAGTTCCAGTTCACCAGTGTATAACCCATGCTTGTGTTGTTCAGATGGAGATACTCAGCAAGCTGAAAAAATGTAACGCCTGCCTCTATCATCACGGAACCATCTCGTGTCCCGACCGGAAGGTCGAATTCGCTGATGCGGTTGAGCTGTTTGATCCGGACGATTACAGTCGAAGGATTATCGGAACACATGGTATCATACCACATGTGGCCTTTACCTGACGCTCTGATAGGTGTGCCATTGCCAGCAGCTGTCCGGACAATATCAATCGTCTCTTTCACAGTCTTTGGGTCGTAGACTTTTGCGACTTCGCGACAAGCAGGGAAGCCTGGACCGTCGAAGGTATTGAAAGGGTCGGCAAAGACAACAGACAAAAAAGATGAAGCAAGGAGTGCATATTGTGCTTGAGGCATGATTACTTTGGTGAAAAGCCCCTTGCTTTTTTTTCCTGTTCAATCTTTTCAAGCAAATGTAAGGCAGGCTAAACTGTTCGTCCTGTGAGAAAGATATTCCAGTTATATATAGTATGCTGAATCTTATTTTTTGAATGCATGTGATATTGCAAGCAGTCAGTTGATGCCGGTAAGAGCTTCCTTTTTCACAATGGCATACCTAGATAGAAAAGGGCCGATCAATATCAGACATCATTCAAGTATCTAAAGACGGGAGTGCACCCAGAATCGGCGTTTAAAGCGAAACAGCTTGGAGAAAACACAGGTTTTCGAATACCAAGCACTGTATACTGCGGGGTACAACTATTGGTATTCTTGGCACAGAGCTTGGCGCAGAGTCCCAGTCGGGCCGTAATCACTTGACTGGAATTGTACAAACACAAAGGTTTTTCTTTCTACGAAATAACATTAGAATTATTCTCTAGAACATAGATTCCTTTATCAAGGTGGTGGCTTCAGTGTATTGAAAGAGGTTTAGATCTACATTTCTCTCGCATCGAACTATCCCTTGATCAGGAGTGAACAGAGGAGTCTTTGATGAGTGACACGCAGCAAGCACTGCTTTTGATTTCAAGGGACCGCGACGCTTGATACTTGGGCTATGAAAGCGCATGTCTTCATTCCAACTCCCTTACTCAAGGTTGCTGGCCGCTAGAGAGACGCTGAAGGCTCATTATAATGGCAAAGCCATATGAGAACGATGTACGTCCACTAAGCGTCTATTCGTGCTGCTTGAAATTCAATTATTTTGGGAAATTCTAGACTTTAAGGACAGTTCTTTCAGTAATCTATCCGATGTATCAAATAAATTCAAGGTTACTTGCATGTACCGTAACCCTTTTCACCCCTCCTTTTTATCATAAATCGACGTCAGGCTTCTCTGAAACTTGCCATTTAGTTTAACAATGGGTGTCTGTCGTCCTACAATACCCGCTCGCCGCGCAACACTGTCCACTGAACGGACCGCCCACACACGTGAGATCTTTGTTCGTGCCACACGATTCATCCAACAATGCTACGTTCGAAGTTTGACACCCGCTCGAGAACGATTTTGGATAAATATCAAAAAGGCAGTTGCTAACAACCACATATATACATACCTTCTCACGTCATTATATTGGCTGGAGATGAGATGTTGTACTTGCCATCCTTGACGACAGTGATTGACTGTGTTTTAGCAATAGCCTGCTGCAGAACAACGCGTCCCAAATGACGTTGCCGATCTACCTATACCCTCAAAGTTGGATGTTCGCTCTCCCCCGACGTGAGGGTAGTACGGATTTGAACGCTATTAGCTTATGAGTACGGGATGTTGTCGGTCTGGCTTTCTTTGGGAGGTGTGGTGAGGCGGCGTTGGTGCTGGGCGAGCATAGTTCCTATACGCCGATTGCGCACATGTATATCCGCTCGGCCAACCACACGAGCCATCTAGAGATGTCCTAGAAGCTCCTCCACCCCTGCTTCCGCTCCCAGCGGAGCAAGTTTCAAAGGCACTTTGGCAGCCAGTGTTACGGTGTGTGGTAGAGCTGCCACAGTGCCCTGAGCAGCTGCAGCAATCTCCACAAATTTATCATCTATTTGTTCCTCCACACGTACTATCTATCGCTGTGTTAATAATTACATTCTTTCAAATAGTCCCTAGTTGGCTTACCTGGGCTCACATCGCCTGGTTTGTGGGGTTAGGAACCGTGACCGTTCCACATGCGCCATAGAGTGTGTTGCAACCAGTACCGCACTCCAAACCCGTCCCACAAACTCCACTGTCCGGACAACCCTTTCCATACACCATTTTACAATGCCGATAGTTGTTGTTGGATCCATACCGTCTGTTGTTCGTATTATCACTTGCCCAGTTTGGTGGCGGCGGTCGGGACTTGGTGTAGGGATGCTCACTATGCAATTACGATACAAGCAATTGGTTGTTCCGTAGAAATCAGAGCCACTTCCGCACCTGTTCAATTTACCACAGCAGTTGCCCCACTTCCCTCTACGGACCTTGTCGCCAGTCGAAGGACATTATTGACCGTCGAGTGAGTAGTTGCTTGAATTGTTGACGGCAAAAGGCCTGAGACGCATGTACTGGCTTGACAATCGTCGCTTTTTTGACATTGAATCAGATATCTCATCATTGATATAGGGCTGTGTGACATACCTCGATTGACCGCACTTCTATGTCTTTTGAGTTGCAGTACCGCCCACTAGAATACGACAAGCATGACAAGCATGACACGAATGATTCGGGGTTGCACGAGCCGTCGGCCCCTGTTGGCACGATGTTCCTCGCAACACAACATTCTCCGTCTGCTTAATGAACAGTCAACACAGCAGTAATTAGGAGAGTCGAAATGGAACACATTTTAGCGCCTAAAGACGCTGCAAATCGTCTTGAAAAGTGAGACAAGGGAATATTCAAAGAGTAGTGTATTGGAGAGCAGCTTCTACCAAGCAATTTCTACAAGTTCAAGCCCGCCTTCATGGCAAATCGGTCTGCCTTCTCAATCCAGTCCTGCTCAAACTCTTGTCGACTAGTAAACATGTCGGAATCAAGATAGAGTAGAAGTAATGCGTCTGGATCCCCTGCGTCTTTACGTGCTGGCCCAGAAGCTCCAGAGCAGTAGAGATGCGCATTATCTGGATCACCCCTATTTTAGATTCCGAAGATGGTCTCGCGCAGTTCCGGAGCGTAAAGATGCAATTCATTGATGAACTTTTCAAATGTAATGGGCTGTCCTCCTACATTTTCAATCACCAAGGGTGCGGGCTGTTCGTTCAGTGCATCGGCATCAAGCCAATAATCTGCGCTATACACCACGTCAAAAGCGATAAGCATGCGGCAACGTGGCGGTTGGGTGACAGGTTCTTCAGCGAGCGCATGGTTTGGCGGACCGAGCAGAGGCCGCCACTGAGGACTGCCCGTATCGTCCAGTTCGACAATCTGTGCTGTCGTGGGTGGATCCAGGACTGACCACCGAAACCGATCTGTTAATTCCTCTACAAACAGATCTCCGTCGCTTTCGGGAATAGGGCTGTCTAGAGGTCGTTGATAGTCCGGTGGCAAGGTGTAGAACTCTCCCAGGCCCTCGTTGGAGCTAATTCTGGGCGTATTGGGCTCTATATCACGAGAATCGTGTGTGCAAAAATGGTTGATTGATCCGTGAGATCTTATTGAACAAATTGTTAATAGATGGCCACGGGATGCGAAATTAGATATAAGAATCGGTTAGTGGCGAACAGCAGAAACGAAATTATTTTGCCAACCACTATAAATCCGGCAAACGTTATAGGCTCCACTCAACAGAAAATGATACAATCAATAAGTCGTTCTCTATTAGTCAACTTCCAACCCCAAAATCGTAGGGAATAGTGCTTATTTACGACATGCCCTATTGTACATAGATATGCCTATTAGGAGCACTTCTATTGGGCAAGACAACCGGAATACGGGTGCTACCAAGGCAGCAGAACAACGAACCACGGTTGCAATAGGAGATATATGATTACTAGGCATTCGCTCGCACAACAATAAACAATATGTAAAACCGTGAAGAGGTGAGCGGGCATAACTCACGTTTCGTATAGCCGGCTTCATCTATCTACGTTCCTGATGGCTAGAATTTCATTAACAGTCCTCTGGGAATGCACGCTCTTTCTGTTTGTCAATTCATTCGTTGGTCTTTCCCAAGCACAGTTTATACAGGACTATACATGGCGTATGCACAATGGCCAAAAGCATCATATGCCATCTCCATGAAATATAGAGAAAGTTTATGCAACTAACAGTCATCTCTTTCAGCATTCGGGCGAAGGGAACAATAGCAAAAACCCCAACCTGTCCTATTACCTCGAAATGCGGTCGTTCTCTGGTACAACTGCTATTACATGCGAGCCATCTGTCAAAATGCTCAGGCTTGGCTACAATCAGCACGTGGAAAAAACCGACTTCTGAACAACCTCTTCAAAGGCTTCAACCAAAATGCTTACATATTTGGGTATGATTTCAACTCGAAAAAGACCGTAGATAGGGGCAACGCAATGTGTCCTACAACGAGTTCTCGTGCTTGGAAAGATAACCACCCCTGTCCAGAGGCCAATCAACCACCGATCATGCCAGACTTCTGGTATTCGACTTATAAAGAATTTCTCAATCCATTGCATGTGAACCCAAACATCTCCGAGTACGACATTGATGACAATAAGCCCACTCTAGATTCAAGCCGGTTTAAGTAAGGAAATAACTTAGCAATGTTCGGAGATATCTAATCTTAGCTCTCATGGTTTATCAAAGAGGAGTGGAAGATACTATACATGCGAGGAGTGGCCACTTCGGAGGTAGGTTTATTTTCCTCTTTACTGTCATTGTCAACACATAACTCGTATGCTAATCTCCACAGTTTCGTAGAAGGTGGAGTTGGTACTACAGGACAAGGAGTACTACCTGAAGGCGACGGATCATCAGGATCCACGATCCACGCCCCAATGGCTATGACGAAAGGATATAAAAAGGGCCAAACTATTCCTGTGATTGACAAAAAATGGTCGGAGCAAAGTAAGTATTTTGAAAGTTTTGTATGTTTTCACACTACTGAAGGCACTTTGAATAACTCATGATCTACGAAACTCGAATCATAAGAGCTAACAGGCTGGTTGAATCTATACTGATAAGTGAGTGATATACTGGCAAGGCGTCACGCATTCTGCACTCCAAACTAGCCCCCGAAAACATGCTAAAAAGGATTTTAGTTTGAGTGGTATCCAACTAGATAATCGAGGAATGATAATAGCCCTGTTATTAGAAAATGATCCTAATTTGGCTCCTGCTGGCTGTAAGTGGTAACTAATCTCATTGTAAAGAGGTAACTAAAGGTTTTCAAGACAGGTTTGGTCCAGGCCAAGCTACAACCTGGAGATTTGGCATCGATCATCGATCTTACGACCACAATACGAGCGACATGACCACCTCAATACTAAAGATAGACTAAGTCATATGGAAAACATCACGATTCGAGATTTCAAGGTATGGGGAAGCAATACATTTGGAGTTCACGTCAATGGCTCCTACACCGAAATAAAGAGTGCGGATTCGAATTATAGTGCTTCGGGCGGAGGTTAGGCTTGAGATCAATCAAATCAATCAGTTTTTCGAGCCATTCTCGATTCAAATGATCGTCAATGATCTCTAGAGTTGAATTGAATCAGTCCATCTATAACGAGTTGTTTTTTTGATAGACTGTTTGATTCAAAGATTCCTTATCTAGGAATTAAAACTAAAAATCGCCGATAGAATAGTCTCCGATTAGTCAGAAGCTTGTGATAAAGCGAGCAGATCACGCGATATTACCGATAAGATCACTAGCTTTCTCACCACCGAGATCGCATTATCCGATATAGTCTGCACGTGATTTAATCTATCAATAGAACCAATAGATCTAGAGCTTCGAAACTTGATTGATTCATTTGAACGAACTAGTCAGGAATCAATCAGATAAATCAACGGATTGATTGATACCAAGCCTGGTAGGGAACATGGATTGGGGGCAATCAACGTGGTCGCGAACGGACCGGATTCATCGACGGGGGCCGAAAACAACATTCCTGAAAATCCCACCCTTCTGTCAAGAACTGAATACAAGAGAGGGTAGCACATCCGCTCGCCACCGGCCGTAGACATTCTCGGCCTTGCCACTGCCCATATCCTGGGCAAATCGAAGGTCATGGTGCTTCTACACATGATAAATCGACTGTGTGATTCAACAACAACACTTGCGGGGTTCGACGACACGACTTTACCCTCTGCCGATTTCCAAAGCCAGCATCTAAGCTGGCCGCATGCAAACGGCAGGCATCGTGCACTCCACAAGACCGTGCGATCGTCATCACTCCCAGGCAAAACAGATAACACTAGCATCGCAACGTTTGCACCCCTTCATAAATGCGATGGGCCAATACAGTGGGGTCCCGGGCCACCCTTCAAGCATAACAGCTGCCAGAGTGCAGATAGCAAGTGCAGCTTCAAAGAGGCTCATTGCAGTGCCTGTTGCCAGTCTAACTGTCAAGCAAAGGCTATGGTGGCATCAATTTTGCGAATGGCAGCATACTATGCATGTTACGTCTCCGCTGCAGCTACTATGGTTGATGCGGAACAGGGACGGTACATTGCTATGATCCAGAGCCGCAGTTTGGCAAAACACTCTGCCAGGTGGGCTATGTATCATGAGCTATGTATGTATTTATCGCCTCGATGCATTGGAAGATCTGCATCGCCAGGGCGCAAGGTTAGTTACTACGAGTGATTGAACGTTCGTGATCGGAAATGCGATAAAGTCGGCCTGTCCCAGATTAACACCAACAGCCTCACGTCCCTCTTCTTTTCTTCGTCTACTTAGACCTAATTGCATTCTATACAAAGCCTAGCATCCTAGATAATGCGAGTAATTGCAGACAGAAATTTCACATCTTCAGCCAAGCCATCTGATTGGTTAGACGAAACGTAACCTGAATATAACGAATCATTTACAGATCCACGAGCAAGAAGCTACATGAAGCGCTATGATCTTCACCCACGAGGGTGGTTGACAGGCTTGGTAGTCAAGCGTGCCTTAGCACTATACTCGGCCTTATTGGCCCCCCTTGGCACGTTCATCCAGTATACACCATGGGGATGCGGCTTACAATAGAGAGGTTATACTAAGCTCTAGATGATTGCCTTTCCCCGCCTCTCTATTGTTCGACCACTAGTATGAGAAACACCGTAGGCTTGGCAGACATGAGGTGGCGCCTATCCCGGTCAACAGGTTATGATAGGGAAAGGCAAGGTCTACTGCTGACACTTTTGCTGTTCTGCTGAAGAGCTTCAAGTGCAAATCTTCGTTCACTATGTCGACACGCTGCGATTCTCTGCAAGCAGACGAAGACCCCAATGACTACGCGACTTCACGAAAGTTAGGATATGCATCCGTCCAGCAGGGACTTGAGAACTCAACGCCACACTCCGAATGCGACCAGGATGTCGCAGAGATCGAATATCTGAACGCTTCGCCGCAGGACTACAAAGACGAGGGTGTGTGCACATCCTAACTTATGAGTCGGGCTAATGAGCAGTGTATAATTCGCCCTATATCGTTAAGCACACAACGATATCATCTTCTATGCAGAATTAACTAGGTATCGCTAGATGATGAGCAGGATCAGCAAGCTGTCTTTGACTACATTACATCTTAGCGCTCCTGGGACAATAGCGTTCATGGCATATATCACTCTCCTATAGTTCTCGGCAAGTGAAAATACATCCCGGAAAGAAATCCCTCTCTCAGGCTGGATAACGAGATCTATTGCTATTGCTGCTGTTATCCTTCGAACGGCATCGACTGCGCAAGCTGGTATCGCATCATGCATGCTAATATCACTTCTTATAATGATTGATATACGGCTTCGTAGTCACTAGATGGCAATTCGGAGCATGTCTGTTAATTGGTTGATTACCTTATTGTTAGTAGGCCCGCTGTAATTTCTCATTTTCATGTAGACGCATACTATGAAAGGATTGTTGCATAGAGGGTAAAACCTTTATAAAAGTAGATTTTATGCGCACCTCCCGATGAGGTTATGCACATTGTGTTGTGAGTCATTTTGCATCATGCGAGTCAGTGATAAGCGCTACATTGACCGGCCCGAGTTGGACGAGGCTGACAAGTTTGGGGGCCGGACTACAAAATTGTGCTACCCTTCATTCTCCCAATCTTCCGCATTAAAGGAACCAAAGTTAGGCAATTGTAATATCTTGTACACTATATGCGCACGTAGGAGTCACCACTAGGAGATTTATACATCTGAATTGCACGCCGTAGAGTAATCGCGCACGAAAGTTAATACAGTTGATAATGACTTATCGCCGCTTATAGCTGCTACTTTTAGGCCACTTAGTGGATTGATAGTTCAACGTTCTGAGTGTCTCCGGTTGAATTCAAACAAGTCTCGGCGTTTTCGACACAGTTGGTTAGCATTAAATGTCATAATGCAGCAGTATTGCTTGTCAGGTGGGTAAGCAATTTTACGGTGTAGAACGTGGACTCAACATTCGAGGCTTGTACATTGATTCGTATAGCCATCCAATCAGCTCTTTCAATACAAATTTGTTGCTGCAAGGCCGTCAGCTTGTGTAAGGCCACCCGGGCCTGAAAGTACCCACTACATTTCGAATTCTCAAGTGGTTGGACTAAGGCGTCCCCTACGTCTCACAAACTCTGGACGCACTGAGTAGCCTTCTGCGTATAAGGAGTGATGGTTTCTCGCAGGATTTGTTACTCTACCTCGTTATAAGCAACTCTGAGTCTCCTCCTTTGGTAGCATCGGTCAGCACTATGGTTCAAATCATCCCTTACATTGCCTCTCTGCTGGCTCTTGGCCAGGCTGTTACTGCCGCTAAAGCTGTTTCATCCTTCTCTGAATGGGTTGAGGGTATCGTTGCTAATCCTGATGGCGATAATATGACACCTGAAGAGGTCGTCGAGGCTTTCAAGGCGGGACAGTTCAGCAGCCCACCAGAAGGTACGTCTGCCATCGGATCGATCTATATTGCCTATATGGAAGCTAACCGACGGAAATACAGCCAGGCAAGCTCGTAGTTTGCTACAGAAGCGTGCCAGCTGCTATGAACAGCCTAACACTGATTGTCCTGTACGTGACATGAAATCAAGACTTCGTTTCAGAATTTAACTAACATTGCTTTGCTCATCAGATCTCTGACGCTGTTGCATGCATCAACACTGTCGCCCGCAAGAGCAACTGCGATGCTTATCTGCAGTGCCAAATCGGTGGTTGCGTACTGACGACCGACGGTAACCATAACTCCAATTGGTAGGTGTCTGTATTATACACCCCGACATACCTAATTACTAAACGTGCAACAGCAACGATGTCGCTCGTGGCGGAGGTTTCATCCTGGATCACTGCGTTGTTCCAAACTATGACCGCGTAGAAGGGTCGGAATACGCATATGGAAATGGCGGCGAGCTTGTTAGGATTCGAAGGCCGTAGTTTTCAATCGAGAATATCTCATCGATATGTTTCTTTTCGCATAATATACTTACTACTAAGAAATATGCGCAAGACCATGATGTTATATCCTAAGTAAAGACATTTGGGTATAATTGATTACTATATTTTATAGTAAACTTAGAAAATTTCAATCATGTGAGCTTAGACGACCTATACTAATCTAGTTCTAAGAAAACAACTATCGAACTTCACTACGCTCGTAAATAGGTAGAGTCCGTCTAAGCTTAGTAGTAAAAAAGATAGAGAGTTTTATTAATATTAAGTGAGGTAGAATCGAAGTCTATATCTAATTAGGTATAGAGTTAATATATTTCGTATTATATAGAGATTTTGAGATAATAACTAGTATCTATAGTAGGTAGAAAAGTCTTAAATAGAACTTATTTTTATTACTATAAAGGGGTGATGTAAAAAAAACTATCACTAAAAGTTATAGTTTTAAAACTAGCATAACTAGCTAAATATCAAAGATACTCCTAAACGGGTAAGATAATTTTAAAGTTAAAAAGCTCTAGTTTTATTTAGATAAGCTTAGTTCTAACTTATTTAGTACGGTTAAAGTATAAAATAGCTCTAGAGTAGAGCTATTAAAAAACACTAACTTTAAGCTTATAAATCTCTTTATTGTAATAGGCTGCGCCTATAGAGTGAAAGTACGTAATTGTATCACGTGCCCACATCACGTACCTATATTATACTGCTTAGCTAGAACTTACTCGTACAAAGAGTAGAGAAGTAAGGTATAAAAGAGAGAAGTATTATATAATAGCTTAACTCTTCTTATCTTTCTTCTTCTATACTATAGGCTAATATAAACTTGTTTAAAGGCCTCTTCGCTCTTAATATTTATAAGATCTATAAAAATTCTTAGAAAAAAATATAATCTAGTTCTAGATATAAAGATCATATGATTTAAATTTAAGCTATATTATATTAGTAAATTATTTAAAGAAATATAGAAAGAAATAGTATAAAGCTTAGGTAAGTAGGATTACTAATCTAGCTTAGGAAGCTAAAAGTATATATTCTAATCTTATGAGAAATAAATTCTATATCTCTTAATCCCTAAAATTAATATAAATTCTTTAATTTCGAACTTAATATCTAATATTTAATTAACGCAAATTGTAAGAGGCTGCGCCGTGAGTGGGGCACGTGATAATAATACATGCGAACTCTAAGAACGCTTAGTTATTAATATCTTACTATATAATATAACTAAGAAAGAAGTATAAAGTGGTAGTTATTATATAATAACTTAATTCTTCTTATCTTTCTTCTTCTATATTATAGGCTAATATTAACTTAATTAAAGGCCTCTTCACCCCTTAATATAAATATTATAACTAAAGATATTATTAGTATATTTAATAAGTCTCCTAATTCTAATTATAATACTATTAATTAATTTTAAAAAGATAAGCTTAAAAACTAGCTGAAAATAGTTAATAAAGCTAAAGTTTTTAAAGTAACTTCTGGAGTTAAGAGAGCTAATGATAGAGACTTAATAAGAAGCCTTAAAAGATTAAATAAGAGATTATTAGTAAAAGTAGTCTAGATATAACTATTAGAAGTTTATAAATATTTATAAAAGTAGAAGATTACTACTATAACGTTACTTAAAAAATTTTTTTTTAAATAATTTTAAGACTAAATATTTTCTTATATACGCTAAATAAAGAGTTAAGAAGCTATAAATTATTAATTTTAGTAAAATTGTATTTTCTAATAAGTTTATAATATAACGTAGGTATAGTTCTAGAATTAAGTTTATAAGAATATATAAATTTAATATCATAATATATGTATTATTCTATTTCTTAGTTACTATAATAATTATATTGCTATTAAATAATATTATAAATTTCTATATAAACTAAGGATTATAAATAAGTTTAAAGATACTTACTAGAGTTAGTTTTAAGCTCGTATTTAACGACTAAGTTTTTCTATATTT